TTTTTTTTTTGGCATTTTCAAGTAAAATTATGTCCTTTAAATTGTGTTTGCAAAAAACAATGTACCAAATAAATCAAGAATTGCTTTTAACATCATTAGCATCAAATAGAGTGAGAGGAAAGACGATATACATGTATTTGTTTATTTACTTGTTTATATTTGTGTTTATATTAGAAGAGATTCCACGTATGCTGTGAATTTATCAACTGATAAAAGTAATCTTTCTAAAGACGTATAAAGTAGCAAATAATACTGATTCTGCGTAATATCCAAAATAAATTAGTAACGAGAATTAATAATTGATTTTGAAAATCACTGATACGTTCGCGTTTCATAAAATAACCTTCAACTGAGATAGATGAAGAAAAAAAGAGTCCTAGAAAGTTTAAATATCATTTTGGAGTCAGTTTTTAGCAATTCACGAGATACTTATCAAAACCAGACTGAGTTTAACCTTCAAGATCATTTTGAAAACATCGACTGGTTGCTTTCAATTTTTACCGTACTTTGCAGTGTTGGCTTGAATTAAAATAACTGAGGATTCTAATAGTCCTCATAAAAAGAACAAATATTTTTTCAGAGACAAACCTGCGGAATTTATCGCTGAGGAAAATTTCTGCACTTCCCCATGGCAGTTAACTGAAGTTACCGAAAATGTAAGTTCATTACTACAGGGACTTTTTTTTTTTAGTTGATCTCAGATAGATTTTATTTATGAGTCCCGGAAGAAGCAAAACTTTGGTTTTATTTAAAATATTTTGGGAAATAAACGTTCTTCCATGTCGAGAGACAAACAGTTAAGGATATACCATTAAACATAAAACATCTTAGAGGGAAAGCAATAATTTATTGTACATCAATGTACAAGATGTATAGTATAAATGGATCTGTCGATGTATTCGTAAATTACGCATTGTTGAGTAGCGACGCTTTAATAGATAAGCATCTGCGCTAAACAGTGATTATAATAGACGCAGTAATTGATATTGTAATAGTATCACAATAGTATTTAAAGGCGGGCTTCTGTTATTGCGCTGCAACTAATGCAACGGATAACTTTCAAAGAAATTCAGAGTTCTGTTTAATTTACGGTATTTGAGTGTATTCGTGCTACTATTGATTTTCTTTGCATATCTGGCAAATGGCAAAATATATTGCCAGCAAGGCTTTTTCACGCTTTCCGGGAATACTCGGGATCGTGGGCACAGTTTTTGATTCACTGTATTTTTTTTTTAATTACAAGCATTTTTGGGGGTAGCAGAGTGGCAATTGCTTTGAAAGTTTTGTTGATTTTTTTAAAATTTTTCAGCAGTTCATTTGGAGGATTCGTTTCGCATGTTGTCATTTTTGTTATTTATTCTGTTTTCTTTAGTCGCTTTTTTTTTTTTATTGCCGACTAAGACTCGGAGCATAAATGTTACTTTTTCTGTGCAGTTTTTGCCCGCTCAAAGAAGAATGTTTTTTTTTTTCTGAATTTTTGCTTCTCTTTATAATACTTGCCTATGTAGTGTGATAAATGCCGGCTTTTTTCTTTTTTTGATTAGTTTTTCGTCGATTAAACTTAACTTGGATGCGTTCTTGCCAATTTTTTTTTTCTTTTTGGTTTACTTATGCTGGAATGTTGTCGATTTATTCCTGTGTTCGACTTCTTCCTGTTGTGAAAAATTGAAATCTTTGTTGCGTTCTGTGTGTTTTTCTGTTGCAAAAACAGTTTATTTTTGGGAAGAAGAAATTGATTGTTTTTACTCATGAAAGGAAAAATTAAAATCTTTTTTTTTGGCAATCAGCAGTGTTGCATAAGTCATAATCATATTGCATGTGCTTACAATTTTTGAGTTTGATTAAGCGTTCTAGTGAAAAAAAAGGGGCAGAGAAAGTGAAGATGTTTATCAGCTGTTTTCAGAACCTTGTGCCTTTTTTTATTTCGAATAGTAGGAAAGTACTAATGAATGAGGTAGAAAACTTATTCCATGTATTAAAGATATATATACCTTTTTGTCTGCTCTGGTTCTTATATTATATGTCGGCTTTTTTTCGTTTTGACGGTCACGTTGACGCACGTGACAGTTTACATAAAGTTTGAAATTTATAAGACATGAATTTTAGACTGGTAAACGTTTTAGTTTCATTTTAAAATTCTAGCACTTTTATTTTCTAAAATAATTTATCATTGTGACGTTGTTACCGAACAATTTTTTAATACCAATGAAACGGAGGCACAGAGGCATCATACCGATAGTGCCTCTGTGCCTCTGTTTTATTAGACCATACGACATTTGTGAAGTTTTAATGTTTTTGTAACTGTGCTTTTCAGTGTAGCTTTCCTTTTTTGTCTTAAAAATTGATACAGAGTAAGGATTCTCGTGTTTTGTGGATTAGGGAACCATACTTTGTTAGAAAATTTGACGTGGTGATTATCTGTTTCATTTATTTACGACTCTGTTTGCTTAACTTTTTTTGTAGAGTTTTTTCTATCCGGAAGAGTTTTGGCCATTGATAGTTCACGTAATGTTATTATTTTTTTTATTATTTTATACTTTAAAAGAGGTTTATCAGTGTCGTATCAATTTTTATTATTTGAACTCTTTCTTTAACGTTTGTTTATTTAGGAATTGCTTTTATTAGTTTGAGGTCGGTTTTTTTCCTGGGTAACATTTTCTCGAGTCTTAGGGAACAGTTTAATTCTTGTTGAAGTAAGTGGTTTTTTATCATCTGTATAAAAGAGTTTTTATCAGTTGTTTTAAATTTGGATTAGTTGTGTAAAATTATTAATAATTTTTTGACCTAACTTTGCAATCGTTATTACTTTTCAGCTGTTTCCTGTTTTAAAAATTTCAAGGACTTTTTACATGAAAGACTTTATGACGTTGCAAGCTAGGTTTACAAGATTTTTGTCTATGTTTATGTGCCTCCTACCATTAAAAAGAAAAAAAAAAGTTTTACGTTTCAATTATTTTCTGTCCAGATTTTGTTGCCTTTATATGTCAGTTAACAGCGTTGACGACATTAACATTTTCTGGCGGTGCTTCTGAAAATATGATGTTTCAGGTATTCTTGGGACTGATTTTTTAAGCAGACATGTACAGTTTTACGGGTCAGAATACATATGGGTTAGTTTTTTCGGGGGTTTTCGAATGTTGAAATTAATTTGTCATTATTCTAGGGCAGTCGGTTTACCAGTGATTTAACTTTTTCAGAAATTTTAATTCCACTTATGCTACTTCGCCAGCCGCTGTTTTTAGTGCAGTGCAGTCACAGCAAACTCCTCATACACCTTTAAGTGCTGTTGGTGGCACTAATCCAACGAGTATGTATGCTAGGTAAGCGCTACATTTGCATATTTTTAGAGGTTTTAGTGTACTTTTATTTTAACTCCTTATATTAAAACCAGATATTAATTTTTACTCATTTAGTACTTATATTCAGAATAATTTTTTGTTAGTATATTTTTATATGGTTAACAATAATTCAGTGTTCCATTTCTAGTTTCTCAAACACTGCAGCAGCTGCACCATCTGCATCAGGATATCCGCCAGCATATGCAGCACCGACTCCGGCTGCGGCCTACGCTTCTTACGGTCAGACTGCAGCAGCAGTAGCTGGTTTGCAGCAACAACAACAAGTAATTTTTAATTTTTTTTTTTTTGCGTTTTGGGATTATTGTGTTTTTATCTTCTCGCCTAATAATTTCAGCTTCAATCGGCCTCTAGTGTTGTAAGTGTATCTGGTGCATACGGTTCGCATAATCCTTCACGTCTCACAGATTCTTTCGGCAGTGTTGGTACAGTACCTTCTAGTATCGGCTCTTACACCTCTTTAACAGGTTATTTTATTATCCTTCTTTAGTTAGCATAAAATTTCAAATGTTGCGCAAATTTACAACAGTTATCTGGTTAATCTTTTTATTTTTAGTTTTTAGACGTTAGTTAATTTTTAATTTCAGGATTTTTTTTTTACTTAGTTTATTTGGAATATTTCAGGTATTTCTTCGGACTACACGAGTACTTTAAGATCTGCAGCTCCAGCGGCTGTTGTAAACCCAACAAATAATAATTCTTTTGTGGGAGTGACTAGAATTGGTGGAACTTCTCTTTCTTCAAACCCTCTCGCTCACGCTATGCCAACAGTAACAGGAACAACTTCGACACGTAAAATTTATACTTGTTTATTTATCTGTATGTCAAGCTCTCAAGCATTTTTTAGTGTTTCTTATATTTATATGACTGCGTTGTTTCTTTCAGAATCGTCGTACAGTGGCTATGATGTCGCTGTATATGCTGCTGCCAGTAATTACCTTCAGTCGAAAGCTGCTGGTACAACTAACGTTTGGATGAGTAATACGAAGAAATCAGGCTCTGCTGGATATGGTGGTTCGCTTTCAGGGAACTTAACCTCTAATATCGGAATTACAGGTGTTGGGAAAAACCAGTCTTCAAGCAGAGGTAACCACTTGTGTGTTTTTCTACATCTGATTGCTGTAATCAGCTGTGCTTTTTAAGGTCGTGGGACTTTTCCAAATAAGAGATTTGGAAGTACTCGAGGCGGAGGGGATATGCAACAGTTTTACTGTGAAGTTTGTAAAATAAGCTGTGCGGGATCACAGGTTTTTTTTTCTTAACTTATTAGCGGCTAGATAACTCAATTGGCAATTCTTTTGAGCCCAGTTTTCAGGTAGCTGTTTTTTAGACTTACAAAGAGCATGTTGATGGACAGAAACATAAAAAAAAGGAGGCGTTACAGAAAGGTGAAGGGCAAACATTATCAAAGTCACGTGTTTCTTTCCGTTGTGAAACATGCAATGTTACCTGTACTGGTAAAGATACTTACGAATCGCATATTCGTGGAAGCAAACATCAAAAAGTGCTTGAATTTTTTTAGTTTTGTAATTGGGCCTTTAGCTTTGTGCAAATTAATTTTTTTGAGAATTTACTGGTTTTAGACTGCAAATCTTATGAAGAAATTGGGGAAGGTAGTCCCAGATACACCGACAGTGTTAGCTCCGGGAGAAAAATCGAACAGTGCTGCTCTTCCTACAAATGGTGCTCCTATTTCTACTGTTGGCGGACCTGCAGTTCCTTCTAAACGGGTAATTTTTTTTTTTATTTATCATTTTTTGTTAAAGTTATTGTTCACTTTTGTATTAGTCTTTTCTGACGTTTTGGTATTAGGTTATTGGTGTGCCGACAATGAACTTCGTAGGTGGACAGAAACTTCAAAGCACGGCTCAGGATCTCGCACGGAAAGCAGCAGGTGCTGCTGAAGCTGCTATTGAAGCTGCAGGGCAAAAAAATGCTGCTGTGGAGGTTCAATTTATACCATCTAATTGATTTTTTTTCTGATCGTAAAGTACTGACTTCCTGAAAATTATTGTTATAAAGGCTCACATCTCAAATAAAGTTGTTAGTGCTGACTTAATTTTACTTGAGAAATTTAAAGGCAGCCTTGGCCGCAGAAAAGGATGTCCAGCCAGTGGGAGAAGATTATGTTGAAGAAGAAAGAAACGCGTCTGGAAAGTTATTAAATTATGTTTGCAAGCTTTGTGATTGTAAATTCAGTGATCCGAATGCAAAAAACATTCATATCAAGGGCAGAAAACATCGCTTACAATATAAGGTATCTGCTTTTTGCTTTTGAAAACGGGTTTGTCTTGTATCCGGGTTTTTTTTTTGGAAAATTTTTTGGCTCTAGCATAAGTAACATACTGTAGCGTTTTTCAGTTGAAAGTAAATCCGAATTTGGTTGTTGAAGTCAAGCCAAATCAGGTTCCTCGTGAAATGAGAAACGAATTTGCTCGCAAAATGAGGGCTCATGGAGGCCCGCCGATGATGTACTTTTTTACTACGCTGTCTTCGCTTTGTTTTTTTTTTTAATGGGGAAAATATGGGGTTAATATTAAAGTAACTGCAACTTTCAGTTCTTCTTTTAAAGTTATGGCATTTTAGGTTAAGGCCCTTTGGGCCACCGCAACATATGTTGATGGTAAAACCCCCAATTCGTCCTTGGTATGGGTTGATGGACACAGGAAGAAGAGTGGAGACGATGGAAGACAGACATGTTATGGCAAAGCATCAAATGGTAATATGCTTTTTCCTATAGGTTTTGTTTGTATTTGTTTTGAAATTTTTAAAGTTATTCGTTTTAAATTACGCTTTTGCGTTTTAATATGTTTGATCAAGAAATTAATGTTTCTTTTTTCACTGAAGATTTATCCGAGTGAGAATCAGTTGAATGCAATTGAAAGGCTTGTTGTTATGACTGAGAAAGGATTGAAAGAAGTGTCAGACCATTTCGCAAAGGAGTATGGGTTTTATTTTTACTCGTTGAATTTGCTTATCAAAATGATTTTTGCATCGCCTCCTTCTTTCATCCCTCTTCTCTCTTTATTTTTAATATTTCCTGTTTTTTTTTTTTTTTTTAAAGCTGTTAGAAACGGAATTTTGGTGTAAAGAACTCTGGTTAGAAGGTTCATGCTTTTAACTGTAAAAGTAACGGCATCGTCAGTTTCCAGGGAAGACTCGGCGAAAGAAGAAACTAAAGATTCATCGAGTAGTCAAGCATCACATGATCGCTTACTTAAAGGAGTAATGCGCGTAGGGTTGCTTGCCAAAGGACTCCTATTGAAAGATGACAAAGAGGTTTGTATCATTTTCCGGAACTTGAGAAGTATTTTAACTTTTTTTATTTCAGGTTGAACTCGTGGTGCTTTGTTCTCAACCTCCAACATACACTTTACTGTCAAAAGTGACGAAGCTTTTGCCAGAATTTTTAGAGGTTATTTTCGGAACATCTGTTGTTTGTTACTTAAGTGTTACAGAGTTAAAGAATATATTAAATGAGTCGTTTTTAGAGTGATGGTGAGGCAATTACTGTACTGGAAGAGCCAGAAAAAAGTGCTTTGCATGTAAAACAGCCTAGCACGGAAATTGCCTGCAACGTAGTGTTCACTTCCGTTTGTATTCGTAGTGAATCTGGTGCAGCATTTGATGGTGGTGGGCTTTTAAATTTGCTTATTCTGGATTTTATTTTTCTTTTCTTCGTCGATTGATTTATGGGTAACTTACTGCCGTAGTTGAATTTATTCGTTTATGATTTGCCGGATAGTGTTTTAAGTATCGTTATTTGTAACTTTATGTGTAATTTAAAAGCGTCTAAGTCTTTTAGTCTAAATTTTGAAGCCTGATAGCCGGCAGAAATTGCGTATTTTGTGGTTTAGAAGACGTTGACTTTCAAAAACCACTTACAAAAATTTTACTAAGAAATTTTTGTATGTGCGCGCCTTTTGTAACAGTTCCTTTATTGTTGATAGTAGTGATCCTGTTTGATCGGGCAAACGGTGTTGTAATGCATGAATATCGGTAATGTGATAAGCTAATGAGCTGATCTACTGTAAATTTCATTTTTTAGCTTCAGAGATGCACTTTTCCGAAATTGCTTGGATTGGTTGTAGCTTTTTACTCAGACTGCTCAGCTAAAAACTTTAAAATAACTTCAGCATTTTTATTTGAAGCTCCAAAATATCTTGTTTCCAACCTGTACTGGGTCAACTACGGCATCAATTCAAGCTCTGAAGTAATCGGGTTTTGTTGATTTGGTTATTGGTGGATGTTTAGAGATGGATTTTTCAGTTTTGAAAATTCTATTTCTTCTCTGCTATTGCAAATCACATCTGTTACCACATTACTATATGGAAATTGAGACGGAAACTTAAAAAATTCTTGGAAAAAGTGCAGACACTTTATCGGAATAGACTTTAAACGAGCATGAAGTTTCTCGCTTTTTTTTTGTTTTGAAATTATCTGTCCGAGTCCGAAACTTGTAAGCTCTTGGGTAGCAGGCGCACATTACTGCTTCCTTTGATAATATGGAACGACGAATATCCTCAAAGCTGTCCTTAAATGAAGATTCAGTTTTAGTTGCCCATAGTTGTTGGAAATTTTTTTTCTAAAAGCTATTTTCTCGAGGGTTTTTTTGATGGATATTCAGTCGTTTGATGCTGAATTGAGATTTTGTTTTTCTCACAGAGGGTGCTTCGACCGGTGGAGACGACAAAGCTCAACAGGCTAAGGACGTCTTGCCGAAGCAACCGTGTCTCGATGCTTTAGCGGAGCTTAGACATGCGAAATGGTTTCAGGTAAGCCATAATAAAAGCAGCATTCTCTTATCTTTAGTCATTTGTGAAGTGTTTTGCTTTTTCTTTTTGGATTTTGGTTGAACAGTAGAGATTGTTATTTTACTATTAGTGAAATCTTCATCTACTTATTTGTCAACATATGTATTTTATTTAACTAATTTGTGAGGTGCATACCATTTGTTGTTCGGGAAAAATTACCGCATGTAGATTAGGTACGAACTTTAAATTCTACGCTTTCCTTATCAAACTTTCCGTTGGCTTTGATCATTCTTATAATAAGCTTTCTCTTGCAATAGTAGTTTATGTTTTATAAGTTGTTCAGAAAGAACATTACAGTTTTTTGTTTGCTATTTCTTCGCTGCTGTTCAGAAAGGGTTCATGAAACAATAAATTTATGTATCTCGCAATTCCACCGTTAAAGAACATTAATTTTTCTTTACCCGTTTTCTCAGTCTAGTTGTTGTTGCCTGTTGGTGTGATATTTTTTTTTGAAATTTTTTTTGACATTCGATGGTTAAATATAGTTTTTGACCAAAGTCTTGATTATTTTATCGTATACTGTCTACCGTCTTTAATGTGAAATTTAAAAATATATGTCTGATGCTGCGTATTTTTTTATTGCCCAATTTTGTCGTAGCTCGTCGGTGTCTGGTGATGTTATAAGGCGAAATTTGTTTTTATTCTGTTTGGCTGTTAGTTGCTAACGTTATCAGTGTTTTAAATGCATTATTAACTCTTCAGTAAAGTATAATTTTGTTTTTAATAGTTCTTCTGATTTGAGTGCTTATGAAATCTTTACAGCAGTATTCGGCATATGTTTAAGCAATTTAGTTTTCAGGTTAAATGTGCAAGTTTACAATCCGCGGTCATTACCCTGCGTATATTAAGGGATATTCGTCAGCGCATATCTACGTGGCAACCGATGAGCGCATGGGTATTTTTTTGCTTTACACGAGTGTTTCCAGAAAAATTATTTTATGTTTTGGGTATTTTTTTCTTATTTTAGTAATGATTGGGTGTTGTTTAGGCATCTGAACTGCTGGTCGGGAAAGTTCTTGAATCTTGTGGGGCTCCTTTGTCGCCTGGTGATGCAGTGCGTCGTGTATTTGAGGCCATAGCTTCTGGTATCCTATATTCTAGTAAGTTTGAAGGATGATGTTTCAATGTAGTTCGCAAATTTTTAAGAAGTTACTGTAGCAGTAGTTTTTTTCTAGACTTGTAGCTTGTTTTTACTGTTTCTAGCTGGACCAAGTCTAAAAGATCCTTGCGAAAAAGAAAACGTCGATGCTGTAAAAAATATGACGAATCAACAAAGGGAAGATATAACCTCAAGTTCGCAACATGCTCTCCGACTAATTGCCTTCAATCAAATGTATAAGGTGCTTGGTGTACCACGACTACCAGATGTGCGTTTTGGCTCTTCTTTTCAAGGTGATAGGAAGCGTCCGAGAGATTCTAACGGCAGTGTCGATGACGGTGAGGTTGTCGGTTAGTTTGATTGTCATTTCTTCGCCCACCTCCGTTTTGGTAGTAAAATTATCAGGCTTCGTCGGTCTTCTTCCTATTAGTAATTTAGCTCCACACATAGCTTTGTAGGTTTTGAATTAAAAAAGTCGCAAATACTTTTAACTCGACCACTCAGAGGTCGGCGAAGAGTAGACTATGGCATTGTTATTTAGACTAGAAGTTGGTTGTTTAGGCTATCACTTTATTAAAAACCTTGTTTTTATCTCGTTTTTGGAAGTTGCGCGGGTTCACTTGTTCCAATTCCATCTGCTCATTCATATTTGCTTATCGGTTCTTTGTTGCAGTTCCTGCTGCAGAGCAACCCTTTGTTTCATTTCCCAGCTGCCTTGATAAGAGCCTTTTTCTAGTACTCCTTTGGGGCCAGATTAATCTGCAGCCTGTATCGTGAATTGTGTTTAACTTGACAAATTCCATGTCTTACAGATCATAGACTTGAGTAAGCCACTAGAGCTGTAATAGGCGCATCGAGTAAACCAAGTTAAAAAGATAGTTGAATTTTGTGGGTATCATAAAATTTATACTAATTTCATTATTGGGAAAAACTTGTATGGTTTTTTTAAACGCGTAGGGTTTTTTTCATGTCTTTGTTTACTGAGTAAAGTATTGGGGATGGGCTAATTGTAACATATCTAAATAACAGGTGTTTTTTACAAAACTTACTTTGTGCGTAATATTTCTCGTAAAGGCTTTTAATCAGCAAGACAAGGATATCGCGGTATAAATGGTACTTGATGTTACTGAATTGAACTGTTCAATAACTCTCCAACCTTTCTGGTTGCAAGTTATGTAGATATATTTTTGTACATCACTTTGCCTTAGTTTTGGAGGAGTGAAAGAAAGATTAAAAAATTGTGTTCCGTTTCACAGTATTGTTTTTTGAGCTAATTAGCGGCTGATTTAAGTTCACAGAATGGACAGCTCAATTCAACACTTGCACTTAAATGTTCTATTGGCTGTTACTTACCAAATGCAGTTGCTGTGAAATTTAAATTTTTTTCGAAAAATTTGTATGTTCTAGTAGATTAACGTTCTATTTTTCTTCTTCTCTGGCTTGTTGCAATAGTGTTACTCCCTCTCCATGTATGTTTTTATTTTTTTCTTTTTAAAACTAGTTTGGGAGTTTTCCTTTCATTATTTATGAATGAATTCAAGTTTCACAGTAACTGCACCTTTAATCCATGCAGTATCGATCCATATTCTCGTTCTTGATGCTGGTATATCTGATCTACCCTCATTGAAGCTGGTTTTTGGTTAAACTTACAAAGCTTTAGAAATGTTGCGCGTATTGTTGCTATTCTTTGTTAAATTCGGCACCGGTTTTGACAGTGTTTCAGAATATTACCTGCATTGCTTAGTTTTGCTTATAAGTTAGCGAATCTGCGCGTCTTTGGTTAAAAAACTAATTTAACTTTCTGCTTCTCCCAAAAAGTTATTTAATTAGATGCAGGCAATATGCTAGTGGCTGGACACTTGTGTTTTTAACTGCAATCGGCATAAAAATGTCTCTCAAGTTCATAAACCTAAAACAGATAGTGGTTTCGTTTGAAAAAGTTTTTTCACTGACTATAAATATCTTGACAATTGGAAAAAAAGAGGTAAATTTGCTTGAGAGATTAGGTGTGTTTTGTTGCTAATTAGTGGTTTTCGTATTTCGATGGATTTCTGCACCCTTCGTGAACCTTCTATTGTCAAGACTTGTCACAGTTTCGGTGTTTCAGATGTGAAGAAAGACAAGAGGGATGAAGCAAAGGGTGAAGAAAAGACTGCGGTATAAGAGATCTGTCCATTATTTATGTCTCACACTCAGCTTCAGGCATTTTTTCGTATAACACAGTTTTGTTGTATTTAATCGTCGTATTTTACATGAAGAATCATTTGAATTAACTTTCTTTTCTTTCTGTCTGGAAGAATTTTTGGGTGTTTGGCATAGGGTTGGTTGTTAGTTGGTGATGTGGTCAAATTGTCTGTGAAAACGTGTATGTTTTTTTTTTAAATTTTGGTACAGTGGGTTTTGTTACGTTTTGAGGTTGAAGAATCAGACAAAACTGGTTTTGTTGAATCCTTGTTCTGTTAATGCCTAGGAATTAGTTTGGTTCTAAAGAGGAGGTGAGAGGAGGGTAGTGAGTGAGGGGCATAGGTTTTGGCCTTGCCACCAAACTCACTTTTCATTCATCTTGCATCTTCTATTTGATTTTGTTATTTCGTCTTTATTTTTCAATTTTTTCTAAAGCAATGATGTATCACTGTTGTTACGATGCGTTCGTTGTTCGTATATTATTTTCTTTTGAATACGATGAATGTATTTGAAGTTAGGAAATATGATTCATCGTTCAATCGAGAGGGGTTACATACAGTTGGCCCTTGTTTCAAAAACCCTTGAGAGTTGAAAAAGAAAAATTTCTATTTTAGTAGTGATAAAAGCGCTTTAAACTTTGTTTTGCTTCATAACATTACTGATCAATCTCGGCCTTTTTATTTTGTTTTTTTCATTGTTGACTTTGTTTTTGGAGTTTGCATGAAGCCGTTTGGAAATAGTTTTTGTGAACAGTTTTATTTGTTGACAGATACAGTTTTTTTAGCTTCACGTAACTTGATCTAGCATAAAATTGTTATTGTGTGTTAGTTATTTGTTTCCCATCATCGCCTGAACAGTCCGAGATTTATCTTTGGGACAGGAGAGATAGTGGTAGGGTGGTGTAGTCCAGAAAAGGAAGGGTCATTTTGGTTTATTTATCATTCTGTTTAGAAAATTCGTTTTTTTTCTGTTGCGTCTGACTGAATTAGAAGTGAAAAGTATGAGAGTGAAGGTGAAGAATTTCTAATAACGAGCGTTTGATGTTCAGTTAAATTTCAGCATGTTGGGGAGAATAAACTGCTGTTGTTTTTTGTTGTTTTCAAGAAAGTTGTTATAAGATGTAGTGACAATAAAATCATAGTAAAAAAGTTTAAACAGGTTCAGTTATCGCACAACAGTTTCGCCACAACAAATGGTTCCAGCTTTCATATTAATTGGGCGAACTGGTTTTAACGTTGAATCAGAGTAAATTACAGAGTAACTTTTCAAGCGGCATTTCTCATTGACAGTTAATGGTGTTAAACCTCCCCCCCCCTCCCCCTTCTAATTGATTCGGACAACTGTAAGGATGTTGCCCGACGATTTTGTCTACAAACTGAATAGATGATGAGCTTACAGTTCGTTTGTCCTATCGAAAATCGTACATCCGGGTTATATTGCTTGTCATCAGGAACGGTAAATGGTTTTCGCGTGTTCTATTTTAAGGGGTACAGAAAACACGGCGAGTTAGTACTATTGCAGGCAGTAGCTAACAATGGGGGTACTGTAAATTCTCAAACTGTTACAGCTAGGGGACGGTGAGATTCTCAGGTTGAGAATGCTCAAGAATGTTCTGGCGATTCATCCGCAGTAATTTCTGTGATCTTTGATTCTCCTTTCTTGGAATAATGACAGTTAAAAGTTGTCGCTGCCGTAATTTATTTCTGTTTAAAAACAAGCTGAGGTTTACTTTTCTTGAACTGAAGAAGGCATTAAAACATTTCCGACCTAGGATTCTTTAGGTATTTGCTGTTGTTCATTGGTTACAGCCTAGATTTTTGTGTGAGAGGTTGAGATGGTGTAGAATTGAAATGTTGTTTAGGCGGTGGATTTATGAATCGTTTATGTGAAGAAAACAACGCCGAGATATTAGAAAAAAGCCAGGTAGAATCGTCATACTTGGTAAGTTTCAATGCATTGTTTAATCAGAATAAATCTTGTACATAGACATTTAAAATTAAACCGGGTTTACAACAATCTTGGGTTATCAGATTCTGAGCTGCGAAAATTGAGAAGCCAAATTTACAGCTGCAGTGGAAATGTTTTGAGAAAGAGAAAAAAAATCAGAACAAGAATAAGAACTAGAGGTCGAGTAAAGCTTATAGATAAAACTGATGTTATGAAGTCGGTTTCCAAAGAAATGTCAAGAAAAACCCGTAAAGAAGCTTTGCATATATAAGTCTCAAGAAAACAAAGCTCGTTTTCAGTTTTGAGTCCGAAGGTGCATGTGTACGTGTTGTGGAGAATTCCAGATCGTTGAGCGCTTCCTACATTTATATATTTTTTCACAGCGATACATTTAAAGCTACATATCTTGCTGGGAGCAGAAAAAGGTTTATGATTGAGTGGGACCGAATGCCGATCTTTGAACAAGGATTTTTTTCGTCTTGTTATTTTTTTTTTGAGATCTATGGACAAGTTTTTGCCAACTTCGGGTTCTTTTTCGTTTGTAGGGAACACCTCAACTTTTCAACAGTGTGCAGTAACCGGTATATAAATGAAAGAATTATGTTGCAAAATAGTGCTTACAAAACTTCTTTAAAGTATATTCTCTTAACAACACCTATGTTACAATATCTTAGTAAACAGAAAATGGCCCAGAAATCGAAATCAACTTTTTTTTTTTGTTCTTCTTTAGCCTTTTAGGCCTCCCAATAACAAGAAAATTTTAAACATATTGATAACTACAGCTACGTTAAGGTGGTAAAAAAGGAACGTTGATGAACTAACATTTTGATCTACATTTGTGCTCACGTCTTCAGGTTGTCGATGACCTTACTACCTTCCAGTTGTTTTCGTTGGAACACAACTAGCAGTGAACAATAGCTGTAACTTTAATTTTCATTCCTCTGTCAGATTCTTCTGCAGGAGAAGCAAAAAAAAGCTGCCATAAAAATATGTTTGTTTTCAGTTTCATCTCTGAATAATAATTTTTGAGATACAACATAATCTTCCTTGCGAGCATTAAGTGAAGAATGGCATATGGTACCTCCCCCTTCTGTGTTACACTAATACGGCTGCTAAGGTGGGGAACAATTTAATCAATATTACAACTGGATGATAAGGAGGGTAATCAAATTTGCCTAAGTCTAGTTAATTGAGATCAGAGCCCATCCTTAGTAGATTGTTGCTGTACGGACTCAAAACTGTAAAACGGATAACAGCAGTGTTACGTCCAGCAAATGGGAAGAAGAAGACAGGAGACACTATTTACAGGACAATATTATCTGCTGGAATTTTCTTACTTTTGTTTTTCCTCTGCACATCAAAATTAACTGCAACAGATGTCATGATGGAGATGCGTCAAAACGGACAAGATCATCATCTCAAACGTGGTCTCTTTAGGACCCTAAGCGTACAAATTAAAACACAGGGTATGTATGAAGAAATGGAAAAAAAAGAATAACTTGTCGTACTGTATCAAATTTTCTTGTTTCTCTTGTTGCTTTCAATATATCTGCACTTTTAACGGCTCTACGTTTTGCATTATAAATTCATCAATTGTATTCGGCTTGAAAAATGTTTGAAATTGGTCACGAATCTGAATAGGTAGCACTCTTATACCAGTAGTATTTATAGTAGTAAAATAAAATTGATAAAAAAAGGTGCATAAACTAAAGGGGATCAATGAAAAGATTTTAAAAAAAAACGAAGAAATTACTTTTCGTTCAAGTACAGCAATATCTTGATATAATTTAAGTTTAACATTTTTTGGCAGATTTGGTTCATAGACAAACGCAGTGAGCGAACGAAGTTCTTCAACCTGTATTTGCGTTGTAAAATAAAATAACTTTGAACAATAAAATTACTCAACAAACTTATTGGAAATAAAAAAAGTGAAAAAAAAAGAAACAAAATCCTACCAAATCAAAAACTTCATTCCCAGGAAAATTTCCATTCAAAAAAGCACTTTTTACATATTTTGGTGTTGTCGAATTTTCCGGTTCACTAGTTATTACCGGCTCTGTAGTTGTTACTGAACACCCAAGTGATTCCTTAAAAAGCATATAGTAGTCACCAAAACCTTCTTCATATTCTTATTAACAATCAGTAAAATTTACACCTCCAAACAGCATTTATAACAGAATGGGGAATCGGTGCCATCAGCATGATCTCCCAGAAAACTCGACTACAATTTTCAACAACAACCAACCACAACGTCTATGCATGCTTTACATCAGTCATAACCAAATCGTTTATAATTATGAATGCTTAGATCATATTATTCTAAAACTATGCTAAGCAAGTTGACTTTTGGTCGTCGTAATTAGTGGAAGGTAAACATAACGAATAACATTAACCTGAGCCATCCTCAACAGTGTTGGTGTGGTCAGCTCAACGTTGTTTAGAAAGTGTAATGCCAAAACCAACGATGGTATTCCCACCGGTAACAATTCACATAAGGCAGAAAAATGATTATAACGCTGCCAACCAGTCAATATGATACCTTTAACTTTGCCTTCCAAAGTCTGAAAGTACATTTAGTGTTTCTTTCCTTGTGCTTATTAATTAATTTGTGGCTTGGCAATTTCAATTATTTTTCCTCACACACATTTTAGTAGACGGAACGAATTGACGATCGTCAACGTTATACAGTAGTAATCAGTTTTAAAGCGCAGAAAATTTTATAATAGTATTCCCAGAAAGATGGATATGAAGAAAAAAACGAAATGTGGGCTAAGCCTACGTTTCTATGCATCCTTAATAGTTCCACGTAAGAGATTTGATTTTCCAAATATCTAAAAACGTCGATAAATGCGTTGGTCATTCCATTGGCACCTTTAAATGCGCTTCCAAAAAGTAACGACTCAAAAACCTAACAAAAAAGTTCCATTCATAGCACAACAGAATTAAATATGATCTAATCAATTTGATCTTTGTTTCATTAACTCCATACCGATTGTTCATGCTAAAAAGTTGTTAAAGTGGCAAATTTCTCCTTCTCACCGAAGCATATCTTTGGAACATATTTGGTGGAAAATATCCGGGTACTGTTACATCCCTTGCATAACCCCAAACAACCGGTGTCAGCACTTCACCCATATGAAATTCATTCAGTAAATCAGCCGGTGTTTCGCCGAACATATCGTTCCATGCCCATACATTACGAAAGCCAATTTTTTTAGCTTGATTTGCAACTCTAAAAAGACGAAAATGAATCTTGTTCAGTTTGTACTTGACAGTTTGTCACAGAATACTGTTAAATTTTATGGAACTTAAAAGTAAAAAAATATTTTTATATAGAAAAGCATCGATTCATGGAAATACACGTGGATACACAGAGGCACACAGGCAAACGCGGATATGGATACATGCATACAAAGATAAAAAAAGACCTTGTTATGTGCCACAACTTAAGGCGATCAACCGAATCTTGCAACACAGTAGCGAGTTTTCGTTTACATCGATGATCTTTTGCAACATGATAGGCTTCATCAGCACCAATATGTATAGTCGACGAATTGGTGTGCAACCTATACACCTACAACAAACAAATGTTTTCGCTACTATTGTACAGTAATGTAGACTGACCTAAAAAGTCCGTTCAAATACAAATTTTCTAATACACTTTTCTCTTGCCGACTCATCAAGCCCAAACAGCCAGGTATCAATTTTTGTGTTTGCGAATTGCACATTATTGTTGGTGTAAAGATAAGCTTCTCTGTTCTTAACGTTAAAGCAAGAAAAGGGTGACAAAAATCTTTTTTTTTCTAAAGTAAGGAAATAAAAAGGTCAAGGGAAAAAGAATCTATTGATTTTTTTTCAGCGTCTAATATCCATTTTTAGCCTTCTTTTATTACAAAATTCTCGGCAACAATATAAAAATTTCGATCTCTTTTCTACTGTTAAAGAAAGCAAAGAAAAAAATGTTTAGGCGAATACACACAAATGGCAAGAAAAAAGTCGAGCACAATCGTTTGATATTATTGTTAACTGAAAAAATTATGACAAAACAGACTACTTCTTGCAGACAACCCTCCTCCTAGTCTCCCTTCTCTCCTTTGCAAAAGAACACTGAATATAACTGATGTGAATTAACATGCTAATAAACTATACAGTGTAAACTGATCACTTCCCTACTTTCTATTGCAGTAAAATAGGAATAAAATAAATATGGATACTTGGGAAAAAAATACAATTAGAGTGGTTAAGAAAAAAGGAAAAATTAGATGACGTATACCTGACTTAACATTTCAGTGATTAGCTGAAAAGACTCGTCATCTGTCGGACAGATGGTATCAGCAAAGTAGGGAACTTCGCGTAGATGAACAAATTTTATATGTTTTAAGACGAATTCAAGATGACCAAATGTTTGTATCAGTGGAATTATTTCAATATCATTCTGCTGCGCCACCTAAACAACGAATATCTACAAAAAAAAATTTCATTTTTCTTCTTTTTCCTCTTATCATCCTATTTTTGCATCAACTGCGCAAAGATACCTGACAATTTGCTCTTAAAATGTAGTTTTTATTTGAAAGTAAAAAAGCGTCAACCCGATAATCAAAGTTATTGAAATGTTTCTTCCACCTTTACCTTTACTGTAGAAAATTTTGAAAATAATTCTTTTCCTTCTTTTTTTCTTGCTTTAAGTACTGTAAAAACATTAAGGTACTGAAAATATCAAGACTCAAAAGGAATTACTTTTCAAAAACCATCCCTAAATTAAATCTAAAATTTAAATTTTTTCCAGTTGTTTATAAAAAAAAAAA